CCCCAGCAGACCAGGGGGACAGCAGGAAAGCCTCCCAGCTTTGCTGGACCCCCTCAGCAGACCAGGGAGACCGGGAGAAGCTTTTCTCGCCCCGGAGGACACGGGTGGCGACCCGCCGCCCGTGAGCTCCGGGGTGAGAAAAGCCCCGTTCGTAAGTGCGGATCCGACATAAGTCGGATCCGCGTAAGTCGGGGACTGCCTGTATATCCAACTATTACACAATAACCAAGCCAATCCAGCTGTAGAAAATGTAACAGGTATAAATTAAGTAATAAACAATAACTTCAATATGTCCAGTTTCATTGTTTGGATGATGATACATGTAACACAGATGAGTGCATTAATCCCAGCTGAAATATGTGTTTAAGCATATACTGTGAACATATTCTTACCTGTAAGCAAATGAACATTGTATGCTAATGCACAAAAGTTCTGGTGGTTTAGACACACTCATGAATAGCCTATCAACATGTTACTTAATTCTGACATGTAATAGACATGCCAGCATCTGTCTGTGGCTTGTGCCAGGTCCATGCTTTTACAAGTTTGCTGTCACACCAGGAAAAGAATGTGTAACCATTACCATTCCTGAAGGAGTTGTTTCAAACCCTCTCCTGTCCTTATTATTTAGTTGTATGTGGTAAAGAAAATGCAAAAAATCTGGTATGGAAATATCACAATAACTTGTTCTCATATATATGATATATCCTTCCTTTCATCAAAGTAGGATACAACGCGCTTAGCACTCATCTACAGGCTTCTGATCTCATCCCCATTCCCTAAATCACACTCCCTTCCATGTTGTGACAACAATCTCTCCTTATATATTTTGGCAGTTTTATATCCACTCTAAGCTTAGGTCTACACTACACTAGGTACATCGGCTTACAGTACGCCATCCAGCTACGCAAAATGTGAAGCTGGATTCAGCTTACCTTAAGCTAAGCCACTGCAGTGTCTACACTGCGGGATGCTGATGGGAGCACATGCTTCCGTCAGCTTCCCTTACTGCTCGCAGAATGAGGAGTACCAGCTGCTGGCAGGGGCTTCCCTCAGCATTTGATTTTGGGGGGGTCTACACTAGACCCGCTAAATCAAATGCTAGAAGATTGCCCTCCAGAGGGTCAATGTTTCCCATAGTGCAGATGTACCCTAGGTGAGATAATATAGGGGGTAGGATTTTTTTCAAGGTTTAATCTGGTTGGAAAAATTAGGGATTTTTTTTTCATCCAAACCAGTTCATCCATCTTGGCTTATCACAAGGGATTCTAATGTATCTGATTTTTGGCTGAACATATGTGAAAAATGTATCATACTTGTGATTAAGGGCCAAATTCTCATCTAGTTATAGCCAATGGCAAAATTCTTACTAAAAGCAGTGAGACCTGAAGATGGCCCTTTACTCATATGTACTCCACACACCTTTAAGACTGTTTGCAAAGCCAACCTAATTCTTTCTAATGATTTATTCTGTTTCTAAACAAATGCTTTAGTGGTGCTACTTCTACAGATTGCCCAGGAAAGAATGAACCAAGCAATACAATTCATACAGGAAAAAAACCCCAAGACTAATCTTACAATAGAACCATTCTGAGTTTTCTTTCCTGGATAGGAGGTACTGTATGATCATATTTGAAAACATGACGTGTCCCCTAACAAGGTGTAATTACATACAGAGAAAAGTATATGAAATTTACCTAAACTATCCTATGTCTTATTATTGAAAACACATCATTGCAGAGAGAATTAAGTTA